TAAATAAATCTGTCTATCCAGCCCGCGATTGATCATGCATGCCTTATAGGCACTACATTTTTGGTCCTCCCGGTGATTGCTTGTGTATCGGGTTCTTTTATGACCGCGACCGTTCACTTTAATTACATTCAATTGAATGTATCTTTAGGCACTGTCTACTGGTATAGGCATTATTTCTGGAAGCAGTCTACTTTCCTCGACAGACGGAATGCTGACTCCTAAACGAAGTGGGCAATGCCGCGAACTGTTTTTCGGATCTCGAAATACAAAAATTGTCAGTTCAGAGTACGCGTACATATTTGTATCGTTGATTAAATGTAAAAATTCATTTCAGATTTAAGAGATCAACATTATTGCAACTTCATCTAACCATGATTTAAATTGATTACACGATAAATGGTGTGTTTATAAATAACAGCTTTCATTATCTGAGCTACAGTAGACGTGGACCATTTAGGATGACAGAATTTCTAAGTAAACTGATCGTATGATCGGAAACCATTTATTACTTTTTATTACTGTACATTTCCGTTTGGTCTCATCAGATTGTTATGGTATCGATCATTACTTTGAAATCGACGTTACGCTGAGGTCACTTGACTTAGTCATCAGTTCGGAATTATCCTATAATCATTTATCACGGATTGTTACACAACCACAGATTATTTAGAATAAAAAATGCATCAGCTCCATCCGATTCCTACATATGTCCGGGCTGAGACTGAGACCAGGTACACGCCCTACCTGAAATCTGGAATTTTCCGTTAATATGTTTACTACTCATAAGTAGCATAACTGTAACGTTGAATTATATGCGAGATGCAAGCAGAAGATTATGTGGAAAGTATAAAACCATGCCGCGTTGTGAAACGAATTATAGGATACTTGACTTGATTACCAATACTTCGGCATTGTCTGTTTGCTTCTTTTAGCATAAATAAAAATCCTGTTCCCTAACAACGCTAGCTACACATAACAGGTACCAGTTTCATTCGGGGAAGTGAGTTTGTTTTTTTCCTCATTTGATTTGTTCATTGAGATGACATTGAAACCCTTCATCAGTTTGCAACTATATTGATATCTTCGGTGTTTGGTGTGTGTCATTATCTGGATAGTGCTTTTGTCCCCATACTTTCGGAACTTTGTATTTGTGCGTCAACTGTCCTGCTGCCAAAACTCGAACCTCTTAAGGCGAATGGAACAATCATCAGTCATCATTGGTAGATTATGTAGCATAAACTGTTGAAGCAGTTCATTCGACACTGTGATGAGAGGTGTCATACGAAATGTGACGTATTCCGTTTTGGAGACGAGTGATCTACAGAGATTCAGTCGGAAATTCTGCGATTAGAAATTAGGACAGATGCTTCGTTAGAACCGCCGAGTGACCGTCATAAAACATACAATTCTTTCAGCATTTTTTTATTACACACTTTCATGTGATGAACTGCAGACGGGGTAAACCCTATAGTCACGAGAATCTGCTGTTCAGTGATGGAAACCGGTAACTTAAACCCCGGGACTTGGAGTGGTGAACCACGTAAGGCATAGCAGCAAGTACCCAGCTTCTGTTTAGTTAGAGAGACGTTGTCTTCCGCAGTGATCTTTAATTATGACAGACACCTGCGTGTCACTTTTCCAAGCACTCGATTTGATATTGTTCGTTCCTCTGGTTATATAAACGTAAAAAGCAATCAATATTTCTCGTAGACTTCTAAGTGATGTATCTTTTCGTTGAATTTTCCTACTCTTGTAAATTGATTTTCAAATATATATGGAACGAACGAAATCAATTCAGAGTTAAACTGACAAACGCCACGTTACGCGCGAATTTTCCACGCAGTATTAGGTGCCTAAGAAAATAGAATTAACGCATCCGAAGCACGTGGTTTTAAGTAATCTGATAATTGGTTCAATTATTTGGGGACCCTCATCCGAATATTTTTGATTCTAGTCCAGCCCG